CCTTATGACTTAAAATCGTTGCCAGATCAATTTCTGAACTTAAAACTGAGAATGTACTCTTTATTGCTGAATTTAAAAACAACGTTCTCTCAATAAGCCAACTGGCAAAGCTAGGATTTGAAACACATTTAAATGCCAAAGGCCGTATTGTCGAAAGAAATGAACAGACCTATATCAAAGGAATATTAGTAAATGGTCTTTATAACATGGAGAGAAGTGGAGACTTTTCATATCAACTCTCCTGATTTATACGATGAGGATTGAGAGAGTGACTTTCACAATGAATTGCTTGAACATGACAAAATGCCTGCAAATGAATGCAATGATCTTGAACATGAAAATATGCCTAAACTTGAATCTGATTATTATGGATCACAAACTGAACAAGAAGTAAATGTTGCTAAAGCATGCATACAACCACAATGCACGCATTCACCTGTGGCACTGGACAGCATGCCACAGAAACATTCAAACCATTAAGGACATGCAGAATAAGGGTTTGGTGAAAGGCATGAATTTTACTGAATGTGACTCTATCCCAATTCATGTTTACAAGGAAAAGGCACTAAACAGCCATTCCCTCAGAACAGCACAAGGAAGACCGCAGCTCCACTGCAGCTGATCCACACTGATCTGGATAGACATCTTCCTGCTACTCTTGGTGGGTACCGGTCCTACTTGAATCTGATAGATGTTTCTTTTCCAAATATTGTGTCTTATTTCTCATTGAAAATAAATCTGAAGTTTTTGATAAGATAAAGGAATACATAGCAATGGTTTCTAATGTTCCACAGGAAGCCAGAGGTTCTACGATCGGATAATGGAGGGAAATGTTGCTCAAATAACATGGAGCAGGTCCTGAAAGAGCAAGGCATACAGCACCAGATGACTGTACCCCGTAATTTTCAGCAGAACTATGTAGCAGAACACAAACACTGCATACTTCTGGATGCAGTACACACCGTTCTTAAAGATAGTTGCCTACCAGTAAAATTTTGGGGGTAAAGCAACTGTCACTGCTAATTGCACACAGAATAGACTGGCCATGAAAGCAATAGAAGTAACTCCTTAAACCATCAATAGGACATCTGAGAACGTTCAGCTGCAGAGCCTATGCATGTATCCCTAAAGAAAGTGATCAAAGCTTGATGATTGGGCAAAGGAAGGCATTTTTGTTGGGCATGCAGCTAGGTGTAAGGGTTGCAGAATCTTGGATCCACAGAACAATGAGATCACAATAAGCAGATTTATTCATTTTGATGAGAGTCAAAGACCTCAAGTTTCAGAGGGGGCTAGTACTGCAGAGGACAGCCAACTGACGTATGCTGATGTGACTGGCATCAAGGAAGAGGAGAAAGCAGCAGGTCCTGAGGTGATCCTGACTGATGTGGCTGCCAAAGATGCTCCACCGGCCATACCTGAACCACAGAGGCCACCCAGAGATGTTCCACCAGATGTGCCTGAACAGCAAGAGAAATCCAGAGAGACCGGACAACCAGAGGTGAGACAATCAATGTGCTCTAACAGAGGTGTTCCACCCCAAGAATAAATCCGCTTGCAGAGATGGTGGAAACACCGGAGCATTCATCGTATGCAGACATCTCCCGATTACCACCTCAAGAGGCACAGAAGTGGAAGCAAGCGGCAAGAGAAGAGCTGAATGCTCTATACAAACTTAATATATAGACACTCACAGAGCTTCCCAAAGGGAAGAAAGCAGTAGGATGCAAAGGGTTCTTCAAGTTGAAGCACAATGCAGACTGGGAGATCCAATGCTACAAAACCTGACTGGTGGCTAAAGGATATTCTCAAAAGTGTAGAGAGGACTATGATCACACATTAGCACCTGTTGTTAAGCACACAACTATAAAAGCTCTCCTTAGTGTCGCATAAAGCAACGGGATACAGGTTGACCATTTAGACATCAAGGCAACCATCTTGTATGGAGATCTAGAAGAAGAAATCTACATGAAGCAGCTGCTTGGTTTCATAGAGAGAAACGAGGGAAATCTTGTATGCAAGCTTCAAAAGAGTATATATGACCTAAAACAGGTTGCAAGGACATGGAACAGTAAACTGAACAATATGCTACTCCAGGCAGATTTCAAGAGAACTGCGTCTGATCCCTGCCTCTACAACCAAATGCAAGGTTGGAAAATGGACTTATCTTTTGACTTAAGTAGGTGACTTGTTGCTAGCATGTGAAGGTCCAGCTGACAGTAAAGAAATCATATATCAACTAAGTAAGGAAGCTGAACTTAAGCAACTAGGCAATGTGGCACACTACCTAGGCATACAGATACGGAGAGAAACAGATGACCGTTTTCTCCTCTGTCAAGAACACAAGATTAAAGACATAGTGAAAAAAGCCTGAAACCTGTAGCTGCTCCACCTCAATGGAGCCAAACTACATCAGACAGAAGGAGGACTCCGCAGAGCTACCTGAAGGCAACTAATATTGTGAAGTGGTAGGTAAGCTCTTATACATATCCACTTTAGCCAGACCAGACATTAGCTCAGCTGTGGGTCTCTTATGTAGAAAGACTGCGAAGCCCACAAACAGAGACTGGAAAGCTCTCGTGGCACTTGTGAGATACCTAGTGACCACTGCAGATCTTAAACTTAAATTGTCTGCTAATAACATCCCTAAACTAGTTATTTATGTGGATGCAGACTGGGCTGGAGATTTAACAGACAGAAAGTCTACCAGTGGCAATATAGCTTTCTTTGGAGGAGGACCTATAAATTGGTCAAGCAAGAAGCAAAATGTCGTTGCAAACTCCACCGCTGAAGCAGAATACATGTCAGCAGCACTAGGTTGTCAAGAGATACGATGGCAACTCCAACTACTGGAAGACATTGGCCTGAAACGTACCACAGCCCATGGTAGTGTATGAAGACAAGCAAAGTTGCATTCGCATTCCTGAGATAGAAGATGTGAGTTCACATTCCAAGCACATTGACGTGAAACATCACCTGGTGAGAAAACTCTTGAAAGACGGAGGTTTCGAGCTGATCTACTGTCCAACGAAGCAGATGATTGTAGAAGCGCTCACCAAACCACTCCCAAGAGAACGCTTTGAAGCTCTGAGAATGAAGACGAATCTCGTGAGCTGAGTCATGAGACATCGAGAGGCGGTGCTGGAAGCGAAGGACTGGGTGCCGTCCCCTGCCTCAGCCTCCAGACTTTGTAGCAAGAGAGTCAGATAGCAAGAGAGGCAATCCCTGTGTTTCCTTCCTGTGTTTATTCTTCTGCCACTGTCCCCTTTGGTATGTCGATTGTATTCTCGGGGACAACTTCCTTCCATTCACTCTCTCTCAGCTCTCCCTTCTTCCTGCACGGACCAAGAGGGAGGAAATATGGTCCTCGTCTTGGCACCATGACCCAGATGGCCTCTCACCATCTGAGTCCGTCCTTAGTTAGTTAGTCTAGAATACTATCCTATCTCTAAACTTTCCTATCCAGATTGTCGTTCTAAATAAAGAGACAAGCATTTATCTTTTAAACTGAGTTTAACATGCGGCTCTGTGCAACTTTCGGGCACTCCAGGCTTTGTTACCGTGTTTGGACGCACTCCTGCACTAGACGCTTTATTCACTCTGCTAACTAGTCAGTGGTAACTGGACTAACTATACCAGCTAACCCCAACACATTCATCACTCCCCATCCCAAGCAACTGACAGTCCCTTGATGGGGCCTGGGTGTAGCTCCAAACTCATGTCGGGTTAGAACGGATAAAAGGAATTCCTTCTTCACCCAAAGAGTGATTAACACATGGAATTCACTACCACAGGAAGTGGTGGCGGCTACAAGCATGGACGGCTTCAAAAGGGAATTAGATAAGCATATGGAGCAGAGGTCCATCAGTGGCTATTAGCCACAAGGTATAAGTAGGGGCTCTGGGGCAAGTGATGCTCTGTCATCTTGGTGCTTGGGGGGAGGGGTCAACAGTGGGAGGGCTTCTAATGTCCTGGCCCCACTGGTGGACCTCCTGATGGCACCTGGTATTTCTGGCCACTGTGTGACACAGAGTGTTGGACTGGATGGGCCTTTGGCCTGATCCAACATTGGCCTCTCTTATGTTCTTATGTTCTTATGTGCAGGAGCAGATTAGTGGCCCATGCTTTCTCTCTAGAAAGCACCTTATGACCCTTGACCCCCTCACCCTTCTTGGACCTCAGAGACCCAGGTTCCTGAAGTTCTTCCTCGGAAGCTTCAGCTCTACTAAGCCAGTAGAAACCTTCACTATACTCTGCATGCTTTTGAAAATTGAGAAGATCTAAAGTAATCAAAAATGTACTTTAAAAACAACCCCCGGCTATGTTTACTTACGCAAGTTTCAAAATCTTGGCACGTGATATAATCCCACCCCCAGGCACATCTTAATAGACTTTTTTTTGCCCTTATAATTATTTTTTTTAAATCGTGATTTTGAGATTCAGTTACGGCATAATGCGTACAGCCCTAAATGTGGGTTTCTTCCCCCTCCTGGCCAAACAGAACTTCCATCTTAGCCCTGAAAGTTACACTGAGTCAGTGTTCCCTCTGAGCTGAGTGAGTGTGAGCTGGCTCACAGTTTTTTAGCCTCCAGCTCACACATTTTTGTCTCAGCTCAGGAAGGGATGGCTCCAGAGCAAACTAATTTATGCAGTCGCCAAATGGCTCGCTCACAACTTTAATGCCAGTTGCTCACAAGGTAGAATTTTTGTTCACAAGACTCCGCAGCTTAGAGGGAACATTGCACCGAGTCATGGCCAATTTTCCCTCTCACCCTTATCTGTATTACAGTATCAAATTAGATTAGGATATGGAACACTGCTTCTCCCTGAGTACCCGGGAGAACCTGGCTCAGTCGCACAGCACTGTGCATGCAGAATATCCCAGGCTCTCAGGGTAGGAGGTTTTGAGAAAGACCTTTCTCCGCCTGAGACCCTGGGGAGACGCTGCCGGTCAGTGCAGGTGATGCTGAGCTGGATGGACTGAAGACATGGCAGCGTCATCCGCCATACAGATTTCCAAATCAATGACCATCCCAAGGCTCTTTCACTATTCCTGGTTGACATTTCCTCCAAAGCAGAGGCCTGATAGCCCGGAAATAGAAGAATGCAATCAACAAGTGCCATAGCTTATTTTTTCTTCCACCTTTCTCTGTGAGAGGAGTAAAAAAAAAAGGAAGAGTGGGGGGGGAGAAAAAATTAAAGTGCACAAGAAAGGAAGAAGGTCAAGTGAAGGACAAAGGATGAACATCAGAGGTCATTTCGGGGGGGATCGCGGGGGATCGCCGTTCCCCCGGTGAGGTGCAGGGGGCGGGGCACATGACGAAGCCCCGCTCCCTGCTTCGGGCCCTCATTCAGCCAGGAGGAGCCAGGAGAAGAGGGAGGGTAAGTTGCTTCCTCCCTGCCTCTCCCCACCCCTGCCTGCCTGGGGCCAGGGAGGGCCTTGGCGGGGCTTCCTCGCACTCCCGCCGGCCTTGCAGGTCCACCGCCGGGCCCCTCATGGGGTTTGGCAGTGGAGCTGCATGGCCGGCAGCGGCGGCGGCTGGAACCGTTGGGGGCGGGGTTTGTGGCCTTATGACACACGTCCGGTGATGTCAGGGGGTGTGGCATATGCTAATGAGCTATGCTAATGAGTCCCCCTAGCTCTTTTTCTACGAAACGACCCCTGATGAACATCCAGTGTTTGAGGTGGGGTGGGGGAAAGATAAAGAAGGGTAAAGGCACAGCGAACGGGCAAAAGGCACACCTCGGGGGCCTTTCTGCCAGACGGGACTTACCTGGACGGCAGCTACAATGCCTTGGCTGTTAAACAAAAGGAGTAGCAAAGGGACGTGGCTGCTGACTTTTTGCTTCTCCTCGGCCTAAGGACAGCAGGAAGCAAGCGGTCAAAACGTGATGCTGGTGGCTGACGGAAGGGTGGGAAAGGAAGGGACGGGAGGATGCCTGGACGACAAGGGGGTGGAGGAGAGGACCTAATCAACAGCAGCCATGATCGCAAAGTTCCCAAGACTCCATTCCAGAGCCTGTCCCAGAAAGCTGAGGCCAGTGGCAGTGCCCTTGTGCACGTACAGAGTGGCTTTCCCTGACAACGCTGGAAAAAAATGAGAAGGTAGGGAGCTCCCAGGTCAGAGGATGCGACTGCCAGACAGGGGCGGAGTCCACAGCACATCTCCGCTTAGAAATTAGGTACTGAAACTGTTCTATCTTGGGGAGCTTTGATTTGGGTGACATTCCCTTATCATAAAGTAAAGGTAAAGGCTTCCCTCGCTCGAAAGCTAGTCGAGTCTGACTCTAGGGTTGCGGTGCTCATCTCCGTCTCAAAGCCGAAGAGCCAGCACTGTCCAAAGACGTTTCCGTGGTCATGTGGCCGGCATGACTAAACGTCGAGGCACACGAAACGCTGTTCCCTTCCCACCAAAGTGGTACCTATTTATCGACTTGCAATTTCTTGCTTTCAAACTGCTAGGTTGGCAGGAGCTGGAACTAGAGACGGGAGCTCACTCCGTCATGCGGCACACTCGGGTCTCGAACTGCTGAACTACTGACCTTTCACAGCCTGCAGTTCAGCGTCTCAAGCACTTGAGCCACCGCAGCTCCGCCTTTCATTTAGTTCTGCTTTTCACTTCTTATATTGGTTTGCTACCTGTGGCTGGTGATGGCCCAGAAGAGCCCAGACCAACCCTTGCCTATGTTCTAATAAGATCCTGTTCTGTTTTCCTACCGAATGCTGTGGAATTGTTATGGAAACCACTTTGATTCTCTCAGCGATCACTCTGTGGAGGAGAGCTGGGTGGGTTTCTTTTTCGGAGGACTACGGGGACAAGGGAAGGCATCGCCCAAGCTGGAGAAGGCGGATGCACAGACAGAAACAGAAATGCTGGGAAGACACCGCAGAAGTTGTGATCAAGCTCGCAAAGAAAAAGTGCAAAAAAACCCAAACAGGACACGGGAGTTACAACAGACTTGTGAATCCCCGAATGACCCTGGGCCACCCTCTTAGTGGTTCGAAGGCCCACAGTCCCACTGCTGTTTGATCAGTAATTGGCACTGGAGACAGGACAGAGCACTACAGTCTACAAGACTAATAAAGAAGGATGAGAAGGCACAGGTCCCGTGTTGCCTAGCAACCACTCCGAGAGAAGGACCGATGGCTGCTGCTTCCCTGTTTCATAGCAACCACCAATAGCGGAGCAGGGGAGCTGGCAAGCGATAGAAGTGAAGACTACCCAGTTTGACTTTATTTGACTTTATGCACCTTATGCACCGCCTTACATTTCTCTCCAAAATTGTTAATACATAGGCTGCCGAGTGGTTTGCTTATTCTCCACCCTATAAGGGATCTTTGAATCTTGTATCTTTGAGATGCGAGGAAGAACGCTGACCTTTGTCGTTTCTCGTGGAGAGACGCCATTGTTGTTTTATTTACTTCATTTATACCCCACCTTTCTCCTCAGCGGGGATCCAAAGTGGTTTCCATCGTTTTTCCACTCCTCCATTTTATCCTCACAACAACCCTGTGAGGTATCTTAGGGTGAGAGTGTGTGACTGGCCCAAGGTCACCCCAGGCCAAGGGTTGGCCACACCCAGCAGGAACTCATTAGCATAATAGGCCACACCCAACAGCAGGAACTCATTAGGATTGGCTACAGTAGGCGTGTGTGGCCTAACATGCAAAGGAGTCCCTGCTACAAAAACAAGGTAAACAGAATAAGAAGCAAAAGGTGAGTGTGGCTGGATGACCACACTTCTGGCAACAGGGGGCTGCGGCCTAATATGCTAATGAGCTGTGGTGTCAGGGTGTGGCCTATTATGCTAATGAGTTCCTGCGGGGCTTTTTCTACAAAAAAAGCCCTGCAGTCAAGGCAATGCTGTACTGACTGCAACGTCACCTCTGAACAACCATAAATCTGTGCAAAAGGGATCACAAAACCCGATGATCAAAGAAAGTCAAAGTAACATGCAGTCTAGAGGGCGCCATAAAAATCTGAGGATCACAGAAAGTGAAAGCAGCATGCAGTGCAGAGGAGGAATTTCTGCCGCGAGGTGGGTCTCGTCAAACAGCAGAGGGAAAAGCCGATGGGTCTGATTCAGTACAAGACGGCTCCCTGTGTTCATGGGTGTATTCAAACCGGGTTCGAAAAAGAGTGTGTGCCAAGGACAGCCAAAACCTAGAAAGTGGACGGCCAGAGTTTGACTTTGTGGGGATGTGCCCCAGAACAGTGCTCCACTTTGGAAGCCGAGGCAGAGAAAGAGATCCACGTGGAAGCAGCCACGGCACCGGACGGGTGGGTGAAGAACTGGGACGGGGCAGGGGGCAGGGAAAGCCGAGAGGGAGCGGCAAGCGGCGCCAGCAAGCAGAGCCATACTGAGGACACCGACAGGGACGGAGGGGGGGGGAACGGGTGAGGCCCTCCTTAGCAAAGGCCAGGCTGGGCATGTCCCTCAAATCCACACAAGGCCTGTCCCTCTACCGCTCTCCGTTGCTGAGACCCCGGCCACTGACTGCCACTCCGTGTACCAAAATGGCGCCCTTCACAACACGAAGTGCTGCTGAAGACGGGAGAAGACTAGAGAATGTAGGGAAGCCTGGGAGGAGAGGGTGCTTTAAAAAAAAAAAAGGCTCTAAAAGGCAGAGGTGCAAATTGGGAAGTTGGGAAGGAACAGATCGTGGGTGCAGGTAAGGCTGATGGGTAGAGTTCAATGCAGATATTCATTCATTCATTCTATTTTGTTTTATTAAAACAGTTCTATCCCGCCATTCCTCGTCGTTCACGATGGCTTATAACAGTTGAAAACGTTTTCTTCGTTCAAAATGAAAAATAAAACAGCAAGCCCCGGTCCTCCCCCCCCCGCAAAAAAAGATGGCTGCCGTGGGAGGAGTGGGAGGCCTTCTAGTGTCCCGGCCCCACTGCTGGATCTCCTGATGGCACCTGGTATTTGTGGCCACTGTGTGACACAGGAGACTGGATGGGCCATTGGCCTGATCCAGGATTGGCTTCTTGCAGGGCTATTTTGGGGGCAGGAACGCACAGGAACGGAGTTCCGGCTGGCTCACGAGTTGGCCACGCCCAGCAGGAACGCAGTAGCATAATAGGCCACACCCAACAGCAGAAACTCATTAGGATTGGCTACATTAGGGGTGTGTGGCCTAACATGCAAAGGAGTTCCTGCTACACAAAAAGGCCCTGGGTTTTGCCAACTAACAAGGTAAACAGAATAAGAAACAAAAGGTGGGTGTGGCTGGATGAGCACACTTCTGGTAACAGGGTGTGTGTGGCCTAATATGCCAATGAGCTGTGCTGTCAGGGGTGTGGCCTAATATGCTAATGAGTTTCTGCTGTTGGGTGTGGCCTGTTTTGCTAATGAGTTCCTGCTGGGCTTTTTCTACAAAAAGAGCCCTGCTTAACCACCATACCACGCCGAACCCATTCCACAGAGGCGGCGCCATGATGGAAAAGGCCTGGGCTATGGCCAATGCCAGACATGAGAACTATGAAGACTGCAAAGGGGACCGCTCCATCAGACCTCTAGATTTCAGTCCAGTAGCACTTTAGAGACCAACAAGATTCTGGGGGTATAAGCTTCCCAGGGTCAGAACTATCTGATCCAGAGAGCTTTGACTCTGAAAAGCTTAAACCCTGAAAATCACATTGGTTTCTAAGGTGCTCCCGGATTCAGATCTAGCCCTCTAACCCAGGTATTTTTGCAATTCCCCATACCTCCCTGTACTCACCCACAGAACTTTTATAAAGTTGTTTATAAAACTTTAAAACTTTTATAAAGTTATAAAACTTTATAACTTTTATAAAGTTTTAAAACTTTAAAAAACCCACAGAACTTTTATAAAGTTGTTTAGGAGAGACCACTTGGCAGGACAAGGGGGTGATGGCCAGTGCCCCGGGAGGCCTTGGGAATGGCGCCGCACTAGAAGACTCGTCTACTGGGGAAACCTCCCCTCTACGGTTGCCAGTCTCCAGTGGGCAACTGGAGATCTCCCAGAATTACAACTGATCTGCAGGCTGCAGCCCTGGAGAAAACGGCTGCTTTGGAGGGGTGGACTCTATGGCATTGTACCCTGGTGTCTCCGCCTCCCCCAAGCCCCGCCCCTTCCCAGGCTCCACCTCCTCAAAATGTCCAGGTTTGTACCAGCCAGGGTTGCCAACCCCCAGGTGGTGGCTGGCGATCTCTCATTATTACAACTGATCTCCGGGCCACAGGGATCAGTCCACCTGGAGAAAATGTCCGCTTTGGAAGGTAGGTTCTTTGGCATTACACCCCACAGACGTCCCTCCCCTCCCCAAACCCCGCCCTCCTCTGGCTCCACCCCCAAAATCTCCAGGTATTTCCCAACCCTAGTCCCTTCCCATCCACCCCAGTCCCCACACAACCAGTAACTGGGAATGGGGAAAGCAGGATCAAGCACGGTGCGGGGAGGGACACGCCGTTACCTCGTTCACAGCAATGTTGCTGTTCTCTGGATTTGCCGTCACGCTCTTGAGGCTCTTCATGTCCGAATTGCTCCGTCCGGCGAGACTAGAGTGGCTGTCATCCACTTTCTAGGGGGAGATGTCACTAGTTAACTCAGGACCAATTTTCTCTTAACTAACAAAGGGAAACGCATTGATCTATGATGTTTTGCTTCTGGCAGATCCTACGGCCCTCTACACTACATCCATTCCCAGATGCCTTTGATCCGGTCACGACCCACGTCCACCAATATCTGATGGCCAGAATTTGACCTTGCATGTCCTTCCTTTCCCCCTTTGTTTTTACACATACTACCCTTCTGTAATGATCCCATGTTTTGGTGTGTGTGCTTCTTTAAAGGTTTAGTTTGACTGCAGTACTGTAAAGAGAGTGACAGAAGGAGACAAGTGTGATGGGATTGGCTGATGACTGAGAGTGTGGGAGGAGGGGTGTCTGTGAGGTGATTCTGTGTGTGAAGAGAGAGCATAGTCTGTGACTATGGGAGTTTTTGAGTCCATTCTGTGTGACTAAGACAAACGGTTTAGTCTGTGTGGCTATATAGATGAGAGAGAGAGAGAGAGAGATTAGACTGAGTGTCTATGCTCGTCAGAGTGGAGTTTTGGGAGTTTGAGAGACTATTTGTGACACCAAGCTTTGCCAGTTATATTTACAAGTTCCTTTCATCAGCAACAGTTCAAAATAACCAGAAACCTATTCTTTATTAAATAAATCAATTTTTGTTTAAACTTATCCCAGAAATCAGACTAGTCCGTCCTCAGGGCAACATAGTCCTCTGAAGTGCCTAGACCCTAGGTCATTCTACCAAAAGAGAGAGATTTGGAATTTTAATTCTTGGTGGCAGCAGAAATCTACCACGTTTAGGTACAAGGAGAGTGTTTTTAAAGGTAAAACTGTCTCCCCAATAAGCGAGGACCTCACACCTTCATTCAAGCCTTTGGTGTGACCAAAGTTTTCTCTAAGCTGCGCTGGGGGGTGCTGGTGCACAAAAATTTGGCTGGCAGCACAGGGATTTTAGCATTGGCCTATGAGTGAACTGAGAAGGCATTTCCCCTCCATTGGAAATCATGGAGAATGGGGGCACTAATTCTGGGGCCCATAGAGTTGGACTCCCTGGTCCAATCTTTTTGTAACTTGGAAGGGATTTTGAGAAGAGGCTCCAGCAGCTATGTTGTAAATCTGGTGCCTCTACCTCACAAAACACCTCCCCCAAAGCCACAGATATCCCCAATTCTCCATTATAGTCTATGGAATCCATTGACTATAATGATCCCCATAGGCTATAATTGAGCCAGAAAAAAAAACAAATTTCCCCCACATTTTTTTGCTTTTCAGTATGATTTGTAAGCTGCCTTGAGTCACATGGAAAAATAGAATATAAATATTTGAATAAATAAGTAGCTGGGGCAGCTTGATAACTTTTACGCAACTTTCTGTTTGTTAGGTTAGGCAGGGTTCTGACTGATTGTTCCACCCCTTTTATATTTGACCTGTAATTCTGGTTGTCATATCTTACTAAAAAACCCTAAAGTAAACTGCAAGAGTCCCCCGCCCCCAAGTGCTGGTATATTTTCTGAGGCTCGACGCAGGGCGACAGTCCAAGGCCAGTTCTACAATATAGTGGACTGGGGCAGGTAGACCTGTTCTCCGGAGGTCAGATCGACCAATATAATGGAAAGGGGTGGATAGACCTGTTTTCCTGAGGCCAGGTCTATCAATATAGTGGAAAGGGGAGGGTAGACCTGTTCTCCGGAGGCCTGGTCTGCCCCTGTAGAGGACAACATTTTCTGTAATGAAATCTGACTTGATTCTGTGTTCTCTTATAATCTTTCAATCATTCTTAAAATATAGTTTAAATATCATTTAAAAGAATTCATTCTGAGATGTTTACAAGGTTATGGAAATAATCTTCTAAAAAACTAATTTATGCAATAGTCAAAAATGTAAACTCGCTCACAACATCAATGCTACTAGCCTTTTTCACTCACAAGGCAGAATGTTTGCTCACAACACTGAGGAGCTTAGAGGTAACATTGGCGACCGTGCTCTTTTGCTGCCCTTTCCTCATTCTGACTTTGGAACAGACTCTCCTTCCACCCCATGATCAGCCACAATTTGTTCGTCTCCCAAAATGTACACCCACAACAGCCTTTGTTCACCTTCTTGCTACTTTGCATGTTAATGAAGGTCAAGTCGTCCATTGTGAGTATCATCTTATTGGGTCCCTTCATTAGCTGGGCATGTTGAATGTAGCGCCTAAAGGAATCAACACCAACAGAGCAGAGAATTCAGGAACCAAAAGCAACTGGACAAACTTAGAGGAGGGTGTTACAGAATCCAAATGGCTTCTGGCAGCTGCCCCCCCACCCCCCGCATTCCTAATTGCAACACTGGCTCACCTGATATAGAAACTGAGAAAAATTCCAAACATGACCAAGAAAATAACCAAAATGAATAGGAGAACAATGTAACTGGCATCCACACCTAAATGAAAACAAAAAGGAAGTGTTAGTACCACTGAGGGATTTACCCCACATTCTGACCATGCTGTCCACAAAAATACAGTTCCATTTCATAGACTCATAGAGTGCTATAGTTGGAAGGGGACCTTGCAGGTCATCTAGTCCAACCCCCTGCACTCTGCAGGAGCATCGCCGAAAGATAGCCCAACAACATACCCGAAAGATGGTCGTCCAGCCTCCGCTTGAAAACGTCCAGTGAAGGAGCACCCACCACCTCCCGAGGCAGTCTGTTCCACTCTTACAGTCAGGAAGTTTCTCCTGATATTTAGCCGGTAGCGATTCCCTTGTAATTTCCATTTCCCTCTCTTTCCATTTCTTTCCTTTTCTGCCTGTCTTTCTTTCCATTTCTTTCCCTTTCTTACCCTTTCTCCCTTTCCCTTTCTTTCCATTTTTCTATCCCTCTCTTTCCATTTCTTTCTCTCCATTTCTTTCTCTCCCTTTCCATTTCTTTCACTTTTTTCTTTTTCCCTCTCTCTCCATTTCTCTCGTTCCCTTTCTTTACATTTTCAAACTGAATTTTTTTAAAAATAAAAATTAAAAATAGGCTCGCTCACAAACTTTTATGATCGTAGGGGTTTTTTGGCTCTCGAAGTAGAATTTTCGCTCGCAACAGTCAACCGCTTAGAGGAAACACTGACAGACAAAGACATGGACAGATGGCTAAAAAGAGCCGGACACACTGCTGGGCAAGTTGCCTAACAAGCAGAGGGAGGCACGGGGACAAAAAAAGGCCTTTCAGCACTCACCCCCAGTGCAGATGGCAACAGAATCAAACCAGCAACTGGAGTCTGTGTTTGGCATTGAACTGTGAGGCCAATGAACAGTGTGCCCAGAGTGACGCAGGGTACCAACAACCACGTCTACAGTGTAGGTGGGCCAAAGGCGGTTGCCCACGCCATCTGTGTCCAAGATGACATAGGGGAGCACAGCTTCTCCGTTTTCACTGACTGAAAGTGTCTGGCTGAAGCCTTCCAGCTTGAAGTCCTTGGCGTTTTCAGCAATGGTGGAGCCCATCACCCACTTTCCAGACCTTTGAGTGCTGTCCACTGTCTTGGCCATGAAGTAGATCGAGTTGAAGATGGTACCAAACAGGGGATGGACCTGCAGAGAAAAAGGCAAGGGAGACTTATGATGGGTGCGGGGATAACCTGGATTCTGCAGCCTCAACTTAATCCTGACAAAATGGCGGCCTACTGGTGGGGGAAAGGTCTGACACAGGAAATGGGATAGCCTCTGTTCTGGATGGGGTTGTATTCCCACTAAAGAAGTAGGTTTGTAGCTTGGGGGTGCTCCTGGATAAACAGGTGGCAGCAGTGGCCTCGGGTGCCTTTCAGTAGCCTGTGCCAGTGAGCCAGCTGCATCCCTCCCTGAGCAGGAAAGGTTTTGCCACTGAAATGGTTGCCCTAGTAACATCTAGATTAGATTACTACAATGTGCTGTATGTGAGGCTGCCCTTGAAGACTGTCCAGAAGCTACAGTTGGTACAGAACGTAGTGGAGTGTTGACTGGAGTAGTTCGTAGGCACCATATCACTCCAGGTTTGTTCCACCTGCACTGGCTTCCGATATGCTTCCAAGTTTAATTGAAAGTGCCAGAATGGACCTTTAAAGCCCTGTAGAGCCTGGGACCAACATATTTTAAGGACAGGGTTGCCTGGACCCTCTTGGCAACTGGTGGGAGATTGGGGGACTTACCGGGAACAGCAGAGAGGCCCAGCCAACATACAGTGACGTCTCTATGTCACTACTCACATGACCCAGAAGTGATGTCATCATGTCCAGTAGGTCAGGGTGACTCTCTGGTACCTGGGCAAAAACTCTATGGTAAATTTGGCTTCGGCCATAGAGTTTTTGCCCAAATCCCAGTCTGAGTAGGCAGTACTGCCTTGGACGGACCCATGGTGTCAGGTAGCCCTGTCATAGATCTGGAATGTGGAGGGGTACCCTCCTTCTCGTTCTCAGCTCTCTCCTGCCCAGCTACTGTGTGCTATCTTATGCTTGACCTTGCAGATGTTCCAGCTACCGCTTCCATGGCTGGGAAAGTTAACGGCCTCTGCTCTGCCCGCTTGCTTTGCCGTGCACAAGAGCTATACCCATTGGCTTATGCTCACAGGGGGAATGTTTGATTTCACTAGCCAGTTTGGTGTAGTGGTTAAGTGTGCGGAGTCTAACCTGGGAGAACCGGGTTTGATTCCCCACTCCTCCACTTGCACCTGCTGATGTGACCTTGGGTCAGTCACAAGCTCTGGCACAGCTGTTCCTTGAAAAAGAGCAGTTTGTGTCAGAGTTCTCTCAGCCCCACCCACCTCACAGGGTGTCTGTTGTGGGGAGGGGGAGGGAAAGGAGTTTGTAAGCCACTCTGAGACTCCAAGTGAAGGCCGGGGTGTAAATCCGATCTCTTCTTCTTCTTCTTCTTCTATAAGTCAGAGGCCCTAGTATTACAGTGCATTCCTGACACAAGCTGTACACGTGTTCTTTAGTTCCGGATACACTAATAAACAGTTATCTTCTTATGAAACCCTGTGTGGTGTTACCTGACTAGGGAGCATGACACAGGTCTGGTTCAGTATAAGGCAGCTTGATGTAGGGTTGCCAGCTCTGGGTTGGGAAATACCAGGGGATTTTGGAGGTGTAACCTGAGGAAGGCGAGTTTGGGGAAGGGGGGGATTTCAGTGGGGTCTAAGGCCATAAAGCCCACCATCCACAGCTGCCATTTTCTCCATGTGAACTGATATCTGTTGCCTGGAGATCAGTTGTAATCTGAAGAGATCTCCAACTGCCACCTGGGTATTGGCAGCCCTAGCTTCATGTGCTTTCCACGTGCCACTGTTTTTCATGGATCCAAAAGCCAGAAGGGTGTTCTTGTTCAGTTACGCTAGGAAAACCTTATCATCCTAAAAGAGCTTCTCAACGGCACGGATGCAGCCTGTGACACGACAGGAGCAGTGTTCCCTCTAAGCTGAGTCAGTGTGAGCTAGCTCACAGATTTTTAACCTCCGGCTCACACCTTTTTGTCTTTGCTCGGGAAGGATGGCTCCAGAGCAAACTAATTTATGCAGGAGCCAAACCGCTCACTCACAACTTTAATGGAAGTAGCTCACAAAGTAGAATTTTTGCTCAGAAGGCTTCACAGCTTAGAGGTAACATTGGACAGGAGCTGCCTTGCGAAGCCCCTTAATTTATTTTATTTTTATTTTAGCATTTATATCTGCCCTCCCCGCAAGCGGGCTCATTTGCATTCATTTAGCAAGATGCGTGCCCAAGAGAAGAGGCATCCACCCACCCATTCCGGGATTTAATTTCTAGAGACCCCTGGAGAAGGAACTAGAGGCTGAAAAACTGGCAATGTTAGTAGCTCACACACCCCAAAGCTTTGACCAGATATTTCTCAAAGGGACCAAGCAGGGGCAATCGCAACAGAAGATTGTCCCTTATGCAGTTCCGCAGGACCTGCAAGACGGAGCTCTTCCGCCAGGCTTTCATATAGGGGCCGCCGCTGCCACCACCACCAACGGTGGCAATACCATCGGGATTCGGGATCGCCCTGGGAAGCTCAGCCATACATTATGCGGCATTAACAACGTGGGATTGGAACGATCTGCTGGACAGCGGTACCCCAATGGGGCTGACTGGAAGATGCTACTATAACACTCAAGACCATCTTGTTTACTAAAAGCACTTTATTATTGTTATTACTGTTATTATTGTTATAGCTATGATTTTACTGTTTTACTGGGTTTTATATATGGGCTTCTGCCCCCTTGTAAGCCGCCCTGAGCCCGCTTGCGGGGAGGGCGGGATAAAAATACCTAAATAAATAAATAAATAAATAAATAAGATCAGAACATCCTGTGTAAGTCACAACAGCTGAAGCCTATGCCTTGCCCTCCTTTCGAAATTTCACAGTATTACGGAAGCTAAGCAGGGCCGGCCCTGCTTAGTACTTGGGTGGGAGACCACCAAGGAAAGCCAGCGCCACTGCACAGAGGCAGGCCATGGCGAGCCATCTCTGCTTGTATCTCGCCTTGAAAACCCTGCAGGGTCACCACATGGCCCAATCTGCATCGAGCATTTGCTCCACTGTTTTACCAAACCAACACTGGAACAGGAAAAGATGCAGCTCCCGAGATCAGACGAGATCGGGCGTGTTCAGGGTGGTTTGGCCGTAAATCTATGCAGACAACTACCATAAAACTTAGAGATTAAGCGAAGTGAAAGCAGCATGCGGTCTGGATACTGCCATAAAATCCGACAATCTATCATGGGCCCAATCTGCATCGAGCGTTTGCTCCAAACCCACACTGGAGCAGAAAAAGATGCAGCTCAAAACCACATTCAAATACCCCGGGGCAACGCCGTACTGACTGCAGAGTCATCCATGAATGGCAACAAGACGGCCATAAATCAATGCAGACGCTTCCATAAAACCGAGAGATCAAACAAAGCGAAAGCAGCGTGCAGTCTGGACACTGCCATAAAATCTGACAATCAATCAAAGTGAAAGTGGCATGTAATGTAGAGGGGAATTTCTGTTCCAGCATGGGTTTGGTGAAACAGCGGAGCAAATGCTAGATGTAGATTGGGCCCATAAGTCAGTTGCCATTTGACAGCACTTTCTACCACCACTGAGGGTGCTGGATTACAGACATCACAAATAAGAACATAAGAGAAGCCCATGTTGGATCTGGCCAGTGGCCCATCCAGTCCAACACTCGGTCAAAAATCCCAGGTGCCATCAGGAGGTCCAGCAGTGGGGTCAGGACACTAGAAGCCCCTCCCACTGTTGCCCCCCCCCCCAAGCACCAAGAATACAGAGCATCCCTTGCCCCAGACCGAGAGTTCCTATCTATACCCTGTGGCTAATAGCCACTGATGGACCTCTGCTCTTAACATAAGGACATAAGAGAAGTCAGTGTTGGAACAGGCCAGTGGCCCATCCAGTCTAACACTCTGTGTCACACAGTGGCCAAAAACACCAGGTGCCCTCAGGAGGTCCACCAGTGGGGCCAGGACACCAGAAGAACTCCCACTGTTGCCCCTCCCCAGCACCAAGAATACAGAGCATCACTTGCCCCAGACCGAGAGTTCCTATCTACATCTTGTGGCTAACAGCCACTGATGGATCTCTGCTCCATATGTTTATCCAATTCCCTACATGCTTGTAGCCGCCACCTCCTGTGGCAGTGCATTCCATGCGTTAATCACTCTCTGGGTGAAGAAGGTGTACAGAAAAAGTCTTTTCTGAATTCTTCCTGCCTGGGCCAGATGGCCTTAGCTGGTGACACTTCCGTGTGACTTTCGTCACCTGAGCAGATGGCCAGGCCTCATATCCATATAAAGACACAGAGAGACATGCAGGCGCCTTCCCAAGCATGGGGAAGAGCTATGCCCAGTACATTAGCACATCAAAAGCATTCCCTGACATGACACATGGACACTTGAAGAGGCTGGAATTGGAGATACTGAACTGCAGAAAGGATTCCCAACTCCTAGCCAATCAAAATATACCTTGCCTGGCAACGCATGGTAACCAGAGATTGGGCACGCCTCCCCACTCTCTCACTATTGGGTGATGGCCATACCTGGTGGTGACGGAAGGGGTATAATTGCAATAATCCATATGGGAAAACAGGAGTTCCTCTCTGGAAACGAAGAGTTCTTTTTGGACGGGCTGCTTGCTTGTCAACTGTGCTGTTAACATGGAGTCTCACTACTAGGCAGCCAAGCTGGACTTAGCTGCCCACAGCACCATGGGGTTCCTTTCAAGATTCCCTGGTGAGACCTTGGACTATTTGCATCTGATACCTCTGAAAGCCTGGTAACTATGGAATACCTCTATTGTGTAGTTAGAGCTGAACAAGCTATAGATATCATTTGTTTTCTTACCTTTTGCTAGTCTCGCGTTATATGCATGCTTTTGCACTGAATAAAGATAATATATCATCAATATTATCCAGACTTGTTTCCTCTGTTGCAACCTGATTTCTAAGACTGAATCTTGTGTCTAAGCCGTTCGCCTAAGGAGGCTACCCCTGTGTTCATTAATGGTTTGCAGCCCTGGTACAGAGCTGGTAAAGCTGTTAAGTCCTATAGACCAGGCAGGAGTTGGGATCTCTGCTCCTGATCTTTGGTGGGGACCTCTTGTGAGAGATCCTGGTGGCAGTGACTACTGGTCAAGCCTGGAGAGTGTACAGACACTCTCCTGGGGTTTGTTTAATTATTGCTGAATGCTCGGTTTAGCTCCCATCCCTGGACAGTGGTGAGAGAGAAACCTTGACAGAAGGACTTCCTTTTATCTGTTCTAACCCGACCGCTCAGCAATTTCATGGAGTGCCCATGAGTTCTTGTATTGTGAGAAAGGGAGAAAAGTGCTTCTTTCTCGACCTGCTCTATCCCATGCATAATCTTATAAACCTCGATTATGTCACCCCTCAGCCGTCGTTTCTCCAAACTAAAGAGCCCCAAGCGTTTTAACCTTTCTTTGTAGGGTAAGCGTTCCAACCCTTTTATCATTCTAGGAGAAAAGAATAATATCCTTTCTGAGAACTGTACACAGTACTCCAAATGAGGTCACACGGTGCCAAGCAGAAGAGCATATAGCCCTAAGCACAGTGAGCCTCATACGTTTTAAGCCTTCCTCCCACAACCACCCCACATCCCGCCCCCTTCCCTTCCCCGTCGCCCAGTGGCTGCACCTGGTCAGCATTGAGGTTGCTGGCGATTTCCCCCTTCTCCTGAGCTTCCCTGATGGCCTGCCTGAAGGGGCGTTCCGGGGAGTCGATGGTGACCGTGAGCACAGCGTCGTAGGCCAGGCGCAGTTTGGTGTTGTCATCCAGTATGGCGTAGGCCTCCTCATAGGGCATGCTGTAAGTCAGGGCATCGTAGGGGATGAAAACGTACGTCCCATCTATCATGCCCATCTCTTCGGCCGTCTCCAACAAGAGTTTCTCCTCCTGGCCACCCAGCAGGGCCGAGTGCATGCACATGATGATCACTGGATACGCGAGGGCAAGGAGGAAGAGGAGGAGGAGGAGGAGAAGGAAACAATCATGCAAAAGAGCATAAAAGAAAAGGCAAGAAGGCCAAACAGACTAAGAAGAAGGGGCGGGTGGTACGGTCCATAACTTGTCAGGACTCTTGCCTGAATCCCAGAACTTGTGAGAACGCACCAAGGCAGGGGTCTCGAAACTTTTTGAGCCTGCAAGGGACCTCTGGCGCTCCAACACAGGGCAGTGGGCGCAACCACAAAATGGCTGCCAGGGGAGGGGGAACCAACCACATCATGGCTGCGGCAGGAGGCAGGGCCACGGCAAAGTGTCAGGGAGTGAGGTCGTCCTAGTAGCCCTTCAACGTTTCAGTCAGCAACTGTGCTGAGCGGGATGCCTTTTAAAATGAACACATTTGAAACTTTTTTTCTTTTATATGCAGTCCTGCAGTGACATTCCTTGTATTGTGGTGGCAGCTGCTGACAAAGCAGTTAAAAAAAACAAAATCTGCACAGTCAATCAAATCTCCAGTGGTCAATCAGAGGTACCACTTCGGTGGGAAGGTAACAGCATTCCGTGCACTTCGGCGTCTAGTCATGCCGGCCACGTGACCACGGAAACGTCTCTGGACAGCGCTGACTCTTCAGCTTGGAAACGGAGATGAGCACCACGTCCCTAGAGTTGGATTCGACTGGCTTTCGAGCAAGGGGAACCTTTACCTTTACCTAATGGGCGAATGCCCCACCTGGCGTGGCCCACGTCCTAAAAACACTTCACATTCACCAGGAAAAGTGTCAGTGGGCAGTGTGCCCATAAGTGCCACGTTGGGGACGCCCCGCTCTAAGGAAGAAAGGACCCTTTTTAACCCGAGACACATCTTGGATTATGCAGAATGGTAGACAGCGCCACTTCCAGGAAGGCTTTTAAGGCCCTATCATAACTATACCAAGCGCTGGACTTAGCACTGGGATTCTTGTGAAGTTCTCGTTTTTAAGAAGAGAATGTGTTGGGACCATGCCAAGAGAGAAGAAGCGACTCTACGGTCCCTTCCGCACTAGACCTTAAATCCTGGTTCAACCCTGTCCCTGAACTTACATTCTACACTACACGTAAGTTCACCCCTGCAGAGGTCATTTCGGGGGGGATCGTGGGGGATCGCAGTTCCCCCGGGTGAGGTACGGGGGCGGGGCACATGACGAAGCCCCGCCCCCTGCTTCCGTCCGCCCCGCTTCCAGCCCTCATTCAGCCAGGAGGAGGCAGGAGAAGAGGGAGGGTAAGTTGCTTCCTCCCTGCCTCTCCCCACCCCTGCCTGCCTGGGGCCAGGGAGGGCCTTCGCAGGGCTTCCTTGCACTCCCGCCGGCCTTGCAGGTCCACCGCCGGGCCCCTCATGGGGCTCGGCAGTGGAGCTGCAAGGCCGGCGGCAGCGGCCGGGACCGTTGGGGGCGGGGTGTGTGGCCTTATGACACACTTCCGGTGATGTCAGGGGGTGTGGCCTTATGACACACTTCCGGTGATGTCAGGGGGTGTGGCCTTATGACACACTTCCGGTGATGTCAGGGGGTGTGGCATATACTAATGAGTTATGCTAATGAGTTCCCCTAGCTCTTTTTCTACGAAACGACCCCTGCTATCTCGGGGTATTTTTTGTTTCACTGAAGTCATTGAATTACATTGAAGTCAACCTGGTTTCGCCCCACACTTGTCCCAGGATGAATGGATGCTGTTGACCATGCAAGGAATAAATGCAAGGAATTGTGTTACGAGTTGAACTCTGATAAAACCAGGGATGAGATCCAAGTGCGGAAAGGACCTACATATTACATGCAAAAGGTGCCAGGTATGATCTCCGCCATCTCCAGCTGAAGGCACCTGGCCAGCCGGTGCTAGTAAATATCTTTTGTTTGCTAGAAAGCCAGGAAAGCTGCAGACAGACAGACAGACAGACAGACAGACAGACAGACAGACAGAGCTAAGATAGACAACTCAATGGTATAATGTAGCTCCAAATATTCATAATATGAAAGCCTTTCCCTTCTCTGTCTGGGAGGAAAGTGAAAGGCAAGATGAGTTTTAGCAGCAGAAGGTGGTTACTGTTGTTTTGTTGGGGCTTTCTTAAAATTAAAAGAAAAACAAAACCAAGAATGTGTGAACAAATCTGACCCAAGCAACATGCCAGTCCAACCACCAGACTGTGAAGACGCTGGCAAGATAAACTCAAAATTCTCAATCCTGGGCAAAAGACACCAATTCACACATCATGAGAGTTGTCAAGGACCGGCCTTACCTACAGACAGAATGAGGTCGGGATTCTTGCCATCACTGAGTTGTGTGTCTCAGGCACTCAAATGCCCATCATTGTCTGGAGCCGCTCATTCTATAGAGATCTTGACAAACTTTACACACACAAACTTTCAGAACCTTTGAAGGCTAGGGGACTAGATCAGGGGTGTCAAACATGCGGCCCGGGGGGCCAGATGAGGCCCCCGGAAGGCTTCTATCAGACTCGCAGTGGAACTGGCTGTCTTCTGCTTCTTCTTCCAGTTCTGCTGCTGCTGCATCATCGTAGGTTTGCATCTTACAGAGACACACCTGAACAGCGTACTCAAGATTGCAACAGCACAGACATTTTGATGCAATAATTCAGAGCAAGAGGTGTCAGTTATCAGACACTGTTAAATAAACAAAGTATTGCAAGAGTGCTAATGTTTTAAGCATGATTTTAAGTATTTAAAAAACACCTTTGTGTTTGCATCCTTTATAAAGTTTAATGTCTCTACTCCCTGGCATTACCTTTTATGACACACACGGCCCGGCCCAACAAGGTCTCATTTTATGTCAGATCCGGCCCTCATAACAAATGAGTTTGACACCCCTGGACTAGATTAATTCACAGGGGAGAGGTGTATTGACAACAGTTATTAGACACAACGGGTAATTTAAGATTTAATGTCCAGGCAGGTTTGCCCGCTCTGGACTGGGAACTTCCTGGAGATTTGGGGGTGGAACCTGGGAAAGGCAGGGACCACCGCATGGTACAATGCCATAAAGCCCACCCTCCAAAGCAGACATTTTCTCCAGGGGGAACTGATATCTGAAGTCTGGGGATCAGCTGTAACTCGGGAGATCACCGGGCCCCACCTGGGGGTGAGTGGGGAAGGCCTACGTGATGGCCTGTTGGTTGGCTTTCTAGAAATGTCCAGTGAGCCACGGTTGGAAACTAGATCCGGGACTGAAAGAATCTTTGGTCTGATCTGGCAGAGAACCAAGCAGGACCATTTACGCTGATTTAGGTTGACCTCTGCCCAGGCCTGTAGCTCGGATTTTTTTTAGTCTCCTGCAGAGTGCAGGGGGTTGGACTAGATGACCTGCAAGGCCCCTTCCAACTCTAACATTCTATGGTAGTCGGGGGCATTTAAATTTCTTAAGGGACACGGGCTAATCAAAATAAAGGTAATTTAGCATGGTCCCTCATGATGGACAGCTGCGCAGGGGATACCTGGCCCCTTCCTTGCACCCACTGCTACTCAGGGGTCCTGAGCTGAATGGCAGGTCAGGGGGCCTTGCCAGTAAGTCACGGGGCCTAGCCCCGAGATGCCCCAATGTAGCTATGGGCCTGCCTCTGCCTCTCCTACACACATCCATCCATCCAACCCAGCCAGCTTGGCTGCTAGTTTTGAATAGCCGTTCCCTACAGCAGCTGTATTGCCACAGGGAACCCGTAACCATCTCTTTAAAAAAGCAAACGTTGAGTTTGGCCCTTAGCCAATGGGCGACAGGGGCTGGTGCCCCGGGCCCTGTGCTTGGGGGGCCCAATGGCCTATCCCCCTGTCGTCGTCCCACCCCCCAGGAAGGGGAGAGAAGAGCAGGCTCCTGCCTCTTATTGCACTTAAGAACATAAGAGACGGCAATGTTGGATCAGGCCAAAGGCCCATCCAGTCCAACACTCTGCCACACAGTGGCCAAAAATACCAGGTGCCATCAGGAGGTCCACCAGTGGGGCCATGTGGTGTATTCAATCTGACCCATGTATGTATGTGAACGCAGTCACTGAATCACCATATCAAGCTTCATCCTGGGATCCCTCAAATGTAATTGGTAGACCGGGAAGAGCAGACCAATCACCAACAGCCAGTTCCAAGAGCGGGAACTATTGTGATTGGACTTTATCCCTGCAACCTCATAGGTTGGTATTTGTATAGTGGGCGTGGCTACATTAGCCGGGAGAGTTTAAAAGCGGAACAGCTTCAATGCTAAAGCTGTTCTGGCTATTCATGTTGATCTGTTTGGAGTTGAGTTACGAGTTGCTGAATAAAGCTGATCTTTTGACGATGACTCCTGCCCACCTTCCATGTTGCAAAGACCACCCCTTGGTTGCCCTGGTGGGGGTGGGTGGCAGTGGGCTTTTGCCCACCTGTTTCATCCAGTCTCCCATATGCTTCCATATCCTTTCACAGGCATGCCAGCCCCCACCAGGGGATTCCCTGGAATTACAGCTCATCTCCAGACTACAGACATTAGTTTATCTGGGTGCTTTGGAGGGTGGACCCTATTGCGTCAGATCCCCATCGGGGGGGCCTGTCCTCCCCAGGCTCCATCCCCCAATCTCCAACCTGGATCCGACAACCCGACCCCCTCCCATCCTCCACCGGTAGCCAGGGGGACCTGGCAACTCTATACGATCATCAGGACCCCCAAGGGTCATTTCGTAGAAAAGGAGGTGCAGGAGCTCATTAGCATAACTCATTAGGATAACCTATTTGCATAGGCCACACCCCCTGACATCACCGGAAGTGTGTCAGAAGGCAACACCCACCACTCAGGCTCCACTGGACTGTTTTGGATTGCTAGCTATTGGAACGTGCAGATCTGTCCTCGCAGAGGAGGGAGAGCTTATACCTGAATAAAACTTGGTCTTAAAGGTGCCACTGGATGGTTTTGGACCGGGGGGGGGGGCTCTGCAACTTACCTGGCTGCTTCTTGCTCTGACTGAGGGCTGCTGGGGGCAGGGGGCGGGGCTTTACTGCCAGAACTCCGCTCCTGTGTGCTCCTGCAGGAAATGACCCCTGAGGAACCCCATTTTCTGCCCTGCGAGGGTTGCCAGCTCCCTCTTCTCCCCCGGCCACTGGCAGGGGGTGGGCGGGGGGTAGTGTTGCCAGTTCCAGGATGGGAAATTCCTGGATATCTGTGAACAGAGCCTGGAGCGGACAGGGACCTCATTGGGGTATGATGCCATACAGCAGGGGTGTCAAACATGTGGCCCGGGGGCCAGTCCAGGCCCCCAGAGGGCTTCTATCAGGCCCGCAGTGGAACTGTCTGTCTTCTGCTGCTTCTTCCAGTTCTGCGGCTGCTAAGAACATAACATAAGAACATAAGAGACGCCAATGTTGGATCAGGCCAAAGGCCCATCCAGTCCAACACTCTGTGTCACACAGTGGCCAGAAATACCAGGTGCCATCAGGAGGTCCACCAGTGGGGCCAGGACATTAGAAGCCCTCCCACTGTTGCTGCTGCGTCGTCATAGGTTTGCAGCTTACAGATACACACCTGAACAGCCATACTCAGGATTGCAACAGCACAGACGTTTTGAGGCAATAATTCAGAGCAAGAGGCGTCAGTTATCAGACACTGTTAAATAAGCAAAATATTGCAAGAGTGCTGATGTTTTAAGCACGATTTTAAGTATTAAAAAAACACCTTTGTGTTTGTATCCTTTATAAAGTTTATATCTCCGCTACCTGGCAGTACCTTTTATGACACACATGGCCCGGCCCAACAAGGTCTCATTTATGTCAGATCTGGCCCTCGTAACAAATGAGTTCGACACCCCTGCCATAGAGTCTGTTGCTCCAGTCCAAAGCATCAATTTTCTCCGGGGGGAACTGATCTCTGTAGTCTGGAGATGAGCTGCAATTCCGGGGGGGGGGCAGGCCCCTCCTGGAGGCTGGCATCCCTAGGGAAGGTACTTCCAAATTGTTTCAGCCCTGTTCTCTGCACTGATGTAATGTAATTAAACCGCTGGTTAGGGAGCAGCATGCCAGCAGCTAAATCTTTTCAAAAACTCGGCTACTCGAGCAGTGGTGTTCCCTGTATCGCATGACCATGACAACTCCCACACAATCCAAAGTAAATCGACATGGTGGAAAACATACAGTCTCAAAAGGAACAAAAAGAGAGTGTTAAAGGAACTAAATGAGAGCTTCCAATGCCAGAAGTCAACCATGACTTCCAGGCATACACACACAGACACACACAGACACAGAAATTAAAAAAAAAAAAAATGCAGGGGCCTAACGAGATTTGGCAAAAGATTTCTGACGAGTGCAGCAAAACAGATGTGCAATCTGATTTAACATACAGTGCAAACTTCATTTAACCGATCTCTTTCCGATCAGGGGCAGATGCATGCGCAGTTACTAGAACAAGCCTGGTTCAGCCTTCAGGAAAATGAAGGGAAGCAGCCCTGAGGAGGTTGAGTTGGACGCGCGCCCCCCCCCCCTCCCCGCAAGGAGGTGGATTCCAGCTGTGAATGTTTCTTACCTGCAAAACTCCTTCTAAATAGAAACACTGTACAGGGGGCAACGGGAGGTGCTCCCCCACACACTTTTGGCGCCATGCCGGTTTGCTATTTGTGGGGGAGCTTTTAATATGAGAAAGCATCCCAAACCGAGACCCTCCATTTGACATACTGAAGTAGTCCCCCTCAACATCCTGCCAGCCTCATTCCCATGTGTATATGGCCCAGGGTCTCTACAGATCTTGTCCGTTAGGACTTTCCAGGGCTCTTTTTGTAGAAAAAGCCCAGCAGGAACTCATTAGCATGATAGGCCACACCCAACAGCAGGAACTCATTAGCATATTGGGCCACACCCCTGACCGCACAGCTCATTAGCACATTAGGCCACACCCCCATGTTACCAGAAGTGTGGTCATCCAGCCGCACCCACCTTTTGCTTCTTATTCTGTTTACCTTGCTTGTTGTCAAAACCCAGGGCCTTTTTTTGTAGCTGGAACACCTCTGCATGTTAGGCCACACACCCCTAACGTAGCCAATCCTAATGAGTTTCTGCTGTTGGGTGTGGCCTATTATGCTAATGAGTTCCTGCTGGGCGTGGCCAACTTGGGAGCTAGCCGGAACTCCATTCCTGTGCGTTCCTGTCCAAAAATAGCCCTGGGACTTTCCATTTTGTACAGGGTAGAGTTGACAGCCTCCAGGTGGGTCCCAAAGTTCTCCCAGAATTACAGCTGTTTACCAGACCTCAGAGATCGGTTCCCCAGGAGAATGGGGCAGCTTCACGAAGCTCAGAGGTTAGACTCTGTAGCAGGGGTCATTTCCTGCGGGAGCGCACAGGAGCGGCGCTCTGGCAGTAAGGAGCCCTGGGGGCGGGCACATGCAACAAGCCCCACCCCCTGCTCCCACCAACCCTCAGTCAGGCTACGAGGAGCAAGAGGCAGCCAGGTAAGTTGCAGGGGCTGCCCCCTCGGCCCGCCTTCAGATACAAGCTCTCCCTCCTCTCTGAGGGCAAATCTGTGCGCCCCCCCCCCCCC